CACCAAATGTGCAAACAGACAGGGGAAAAATATTGATTACTACACTGCAATCTAGTGTGCAATGTGGAATATGGGTTAAATATATTTGTTTTATTGCATTTACAAGCTGTGTTATTGATTAACAAGTTAGTCTTTGTGTTTGCTGCATTAATGAAACACTTAACACTGTCAGACTGGCAGACATGAAAAAGCTGAGATACAAGGACTGGTCTACATTTTCTCAAGGGATTCTTCTTGCTAAAGATCTGAAGACTGAAACATGGAGTTAAAAATAAAAGTCCAATTACAGTGTGTTTGATCACTTTCAAGTTACCTCTATGGATTTAGGGAGTTTATGATTTTGTTTTTTAAACTGCAACCTATAATACATAATTTAAAGGCACCCAGGTCCATCCAAGAAGGTCACTGTGGCCCCTCAGCTGATGTCTTAAAAGTATAAGTAGAATTAAGTCACATGGTTTGGTAATGCAAATGTTAAATACACACATTGCTAATAAGTTAATACAATTATCACCTAATCTGTATTATTATCCAGTTAAAAACTGCTTAAAGCACCAATCGTGGTGCCTGAAGAGGGCATTCATGTTGGAGAACATGGGCCTATGCAAGTGAGACCTTAGGAAGTCAGCTACTCCTTAAATATATCTCTTTAGAGCTAGTAAAGGTGATCATCAGCTCCTGAACTTGTCTTTAAAGAAAGCTCTCACCATGAGCATACTGTGCGTTTATGCTTGTTATGCACACCAGGTCAAGATGTGGTTTCAGATAAGTTGTTTATGCTTCAATTTTGCGTAGGTTGTAAAGGTGGCAGAACTAATCTCTCCTCAGTTTTTCTACCGACGTCTCAAAGCCTTTCAAAGCTGTTTGCCCATCCAGTCCATACACGTTATTCTTCAGTCCGCAGCCCTGTGGTGTAACGTCAAACATGCTGATGCGTCTGACTGTTCTCTCTGTGTGACGTGTGTGTACAAACCGTACCTCATCTGCTGCAGGGCTCGTCCGGGGTTGGCGCCCATTCGGTCCAGCTTGTTGATGAAGGTGAGGAAGGGGACGCTGTAGCGTTTCATTTGTCTGTTTACCGTCATGGTTTGACACTGGACGCCTCCCACCGCGCACAGAACCAGCACCGCTCCATCCAGCACGCGCAGCGCACGCTCCACCTCGATGGTGAAGTCCACGTGACCTGTGAGGCACATCGAGTTCAGATGCACTCAAAATAAAAGTGCTGAAAATGTGGCTTCACACCCCTTCACATTTCTACCGCTGTTAAAGAGTTGACAGAAAAGAAATGATCAAAGCAGGGACGTTGCAACTGCATGACTGGTTCTGATTGAATAATAGAAATGCTAACAAATGCATTACAACATAGACGACTTGGGGCCACTGACACTCTGTTGAGAAAAAAATGTCTGGCTTTTACGTGAGACTATAACATTCAAAGTTCTTTCAACTTTTATCCTCTGTTATATTTTTGATGGAGGAAAGTTAGAATTACGTCAGCTCTGAATCACTTTTCCACTTCCAAACAGACAATGTGAGCAGCTTTAGATCCTCAGGTGCACAAAAATGTTTAAAGCACATTACAAATAAACAATCACGCCTCACTCTACAACACCACTAAGGTGCGAAGACTACAGCACACTTGAATTTTAATTCATGTGGCTTCTGTGGCAAACCACACAACAAAGTAAAGCCTAATATTACCTGAATACTAGAAAGGCTTTAAAGAAGAGCCTGAGAAAGGCTGGATTTTGATGCTGTTGCAGTTTTAAAGAGAGCTAAAACAAACAAAAATATCAACCGATTTTCATATCGGATGTGTGTTTTTGTTTTGTTTTTTTGAGCCGCGTGACTCAAATAAACTGATCAGGACAGAAGGAAAACCAACCAATGACATCAGTGCTGTGAAAATGTATTATCCCCTGCCTCGTTAAATCATCAACTGTCTAACGACATTCTTTTCAATTTCATTACCCACAAACAAGTCTAATTTCTACTGTAGAATCAACAAATCACTGACACAAAACCTGTCTGACAAAGTGAAGTGATGCTAAATGACCTTAAAAAGCAACACATCATGTCACATCATGTCACATCATGTCAAAAGCTGAGAAACAAAGTCATTGACATTTATCAGTCTAGAAATGGTTATAAAGCCGTATATATTTGTTTCCTGTGAACTACAATGACAGGCATCATTCACAAATGAGAAAACAGTGGTGAACTCCAAGAGTGCCCTGACAACGCATCCAGGAGGTCACGAAAAAACCCAGAAAAATGTCTAAAGAGCTGCATGCCTCACTTGCCTCAGTTAAGGTTAAAGTTCATGACTCAACAATAAGAAAGCAGTTGGGGGAAAACTTCTCACATTTGCCAAAAAACATAGGGAAATGAGGCTGCTTCAGGAGCAACTTGAACAACTTGCAGAAAATCTTGAAGGAGAATGTCTGACCATCAGTTTGTGCCCTGAAGCTCAAGAGCACTTGGGTTCTTCAGCAGAACACACCAGCAATTCCCCCTCTGACTGGCTCAAAATAAATAAATAAATAAATAAATAAATAAAATGAAGGTTTTGGATGGGCCTAGTCAAACCCATCTGTCACTCCTACAACACCTCACCACTGCCTTGCTGTCCTCATGCATGTCCTGCACCACCCTCACGTACTTCCCCGTCACTCCTGACTTCCTCAGTATCTCTTGGCAACCCATCAAATGCTTGTCTAGATCCAAAAAAGACACAGTGCAACTCCTTCTGAACTCCTCTATACCTCTCTATCGACCCTCTAAAAGCAAATATCATATCTGTAGAGCTCTTTTTAAAAATGAAGGCGCTCACTGATCATACCCCCTGTTCTTAACCTAGTGTCAACAACTCCCTCCCCTAGCTTTAAGGTCTGGTTCATCAACTTTATTCTTTGTAGTTACTACAACTCTGCACATCACACTTTTTTGTGAAAATCAATACCAATACACTTCTCTTTTCTTCAGGTATCCTCTCACTCTCCAAGACTGTGTTAAACAATCTGGTCAAAACGGTCCATTGTCTTCTCTCCTAGACATCTCAATAACTATACAGGTAAGTATCTTCATAGCTGACCTCACTTCCTCTGCACTTCCTGATTCACTACCTGACCTTCATCCCTCCATTAGTAGCAGAGCAAGAGGTAAAAACTGCTTTGGGGTGAGTGCGGATCAGTCTGTCGATTCATTTTTGACCATTTACTGACAGTTAATGAACAGGTAATACTAAATTACCCTACCTGTGCAGCTCACCTCAGCAAACGTTACTTTGTAGTTACACAAAGTACCACAGTAATGAGTTACATTTTTACTAGGTGTATGTCTAATTACCTGGCGTGTCAATTATGTTGATGTTGTGATCTTTCCACACGGTGTATGTAGCAGCTGACTGGATGGTGATGCCTCGTTGTCTCTCCAACTCCATGGAGTCCATAGTGGCTCCAACGCCATCTTTCCCCTTCACCTACACAACGCAGGTGAGGGAAAGCATTCATGAGCCTCACTTAAACGGAAAAAAAGAGCTTGATGAAGACAATGAAACGGACTCACCTCATGGATCTCTGCTATCCTGCCGGTGTAGTAGAGCACGCGCTCGGTCAGTGTGGTTTTCCCAGAGTCGATGTGAGCGGAGATCCCGATGTTGCGGATCCTCTCGCTTGGAAAGACACCGGAGGAGCAGCTCCGGCAGCTGTTGATGAGCACCTGAGGATATGAAACCATCACAGTTCACTCGATCTACCGACTGTGAAACAAACTGGACTGAGGTCAAGTCAGCAGACTCGGGTTAGATAATATTACCTTTTTAAGTGTGACGCTTCCTCGCGCCGAAAGATGCGTTTTAGCTAAAAACATGCCTGCTTTTAACACCCTCATCTCGGCAACAGCTCAGTGGAGTACAGCTTGGTCGTAGTATCGCCCTGTTTAGACGACCCCGGTGCTGCTGACACCCCGGTGAAAGTCACGCCGGGATCCTCGCTGCTTGTGAAACGACTGCTTCCGGGTCTACGGAAGCCCAGAAGTACCAAAATCACAAACGTTTAAGTTTTCTCTTAAAACGCATTATTTATTTATTGTCCCCTTTCTTTCTTTTAATTTTATTTCAATGTTTCACGTGTTTTGAAAGGCCAAACGTGTTTAGCCACAAATCTCAATTTATCTGTTTGATAAATTATTTTTTAGGAAATAAAAAATATATCTCCAACTTGCACATGAAAAATATCTGAACCTCTGTGTTGACTGTCATGTCTATTTTATTTATCACCTATAGCACATTTAAACAACAGAAGTTGAACCAAAGTGCTTTATAAGCAAGCACATTTACATTCCAGGTCTTAAAGTAACCCAGTTTCAAAATACATGACAAGTTGAAAGGTGTGTTTCGTTGATTATTGTGGAAATTAAATTCAGTCGTTAAAATCAGAATTTGCAAATTCATGATGATTCATCCCATAAATCATTACACGCTGCTCTTGCCTTCATAAGCCGCCTTTATAAGTTAAAAGTATCGGTATCAATATTGGTATCGGCAATAATGGCCTTGTATTTATTTGGTATCATCAATACCAAAATTTTCAGTATCGCACACTGCTAGTTCACCACTAAAAAGAAAAAAAAAGAGGTAATATCTCAAGATTTCAATTTACATCTGAAAACTCCAAATTTTTGTCATTAAATCGAAATTTCAGCATATTAAGTTGTCATTTTTACTTACAGATAGATAAAAAGAAATCACGGGCATTAACAAATTTCCATACTGCACTAATGTAAGAAATCCAAAATTATTTCTGGATGGTCAACTTTGGTATTTCTTGAATATCAAACACAAAAAAATGCAAATATAATTTTTTAAGCTACCTTGCTGTTACGATGTTTACGCTTTTGTTTTATCAGACTAAAAAAAATTAACCTTTCTCAATTGTAAAGGTTACTAACGGTTTTTCTTTAGCGCCTAAACAGCTAAAATTCGTGGTGCACTTGAAGGTAACGCCATTAAATGACCAGTAGGCCACCGTCGGATCATTTTGAGTAGGTTTGTGACGTTTTCTTAGACATAATAAAGATTGTTTTGGGTGACAACATTTTGTTTGGTCGCCTTTTTTTTGGGTCTTTTCTTATTTACTGTACTTGTGGTCGTGGTTGCGTTTTTAACTGAGCTAAATCGTGTTTCTTTTTTGTTTTTTGTGGCCGTTACGTCTTGTCGTTTGGAAGCTCGTTAGCTTGTGCCACTTCAGGTGTCTCTGGAAGTTACTAAGCCTGAAAGTTAACGACACTTGCCTCCGTTTTACCAGCGCTTCCTCTTTTACTTTAACCACATGCTGATACTTCACTTCGTGCAGCAGCGATTCGCACACACTAGCTGAACAGCTCATGATCAGAGACACATCATCATTTTCACGTCCTGCCAGGAGTTTTTAAAAACCTCTGCATCCCTGTCAGCTATTTTTAACAGTATACCACCGGAGGACCACTTCAGGATCAGTCAGGTAAGATTAACTCAAGTTTTTGTGTGTATGTTTGTGTTTTTTATCCGTTTGGTTGTTTTGCTTGGCTGAAAACGCGCAGATAAGACTTGTCTCTTCTTATTGTTTGATCACAGGAAACTGGTACGGGCGTTTTAATTTAGGGCCAAGTTAAAATCAGGATTTTAAAAAGCTCTAGTGCTGCCCAAGCTCAAATTGAAAGTGTGTGCTAAACCGCCGTTTAAACAAATGACTCACTGATAAGTCTCTTCATTTAGATTGGCTGTGTTTTCCATTTTAGCCACAAAGTGTATGCTGCTGATTGAACAAACAGATGAGTGGTTTTGATGGCAGTGCTTTACTGCCATTTATCACCCTGAGATCTATTTTAAGGGTGTGGGGTTTTTTTTAATTTATTTTATTTTGTTGGGTTTTTTTAAAGACTTGTTTTGAAATGATCAACTTCCCATAAACTATGTGTCACTGTATGAGCCCCTGCGGATGGCACAACATTCACAGTTATTCAGGCCAGCGTGAGTCATTATATAGGATTAGTTATTATTTGGATTATGAATATAGTGGACTGTGTGGTTCTGTATGAGCTGTATTTTCCTTTGTTATCCTTGCTGTCTCATTTCCTGTAAGCATTCCTTTTGAGCTGTCGCAGCAAATAACAATCACTTAACCTCACCGTGTTTCATTTATAATGTCGGAAAGGCTTGAAACGGCTTTCTGATAGAGGAAACGTCATGATTTGACCCTTTTTAAACACTACTGTCTTTTGTATTTACATGAGAAATGTTGCAAAACGGCAATTCCTATGAGCAGATAGAGGAAGTTGAAGCTGTGTTTTGACATAGCTGACTAGAACGACTGTAAATACATTATTAAAGGGAACAACCTGTGCTTTTTCTTGTTTTCTATTATTTATATATAGTGGATGATCAAATTAAAAAATAACAAAGGAACAAAAGTTAAGTAAGTGGGGTTAGCCTACCAGCAGCCTGAAGCATCAAACTGCTGGTACACTGTACATAAAAGATGGACATGGCCATAGTGACATCACCTGTTGTTCATGAGTTCTCATTTTGAAGCACTGAGCTTAGCATTGTTTCCGTCGCCATCTTGGTGGTTTGAAACTAATCGTGATAACAAGGCGGATCAGGCAAAGAATCCAAAGGAGGCTGCACCCCCGTAGGCTGGTAGCTTGTACAGTCGTTTATTGGAGATAATTATTTTCAAAAAATTCAAGTTTGACTTTAACTCAAGAAGGCTTGAAACTACCAACCAATACCATCAACACATCAGAAATAACATTAATAACTGCTGTAACAAAACATTTTCCCAAGTATTGGATAAAGTGTTTATTGTATCCAACTTATCTTGAAAATAAATATAGAAACATCAGAGGAGTCGCCCTCTGCTGGCCTTTACAAAGAATGCAGGACATGCAGCCTTCTTCCATCTTTTCTATACAGATAGTGAGACTTTTTTTTTTATTATTTATGAGGGGCAGCAAATCAGAAGAAATCTGAATTAAAGAGGGGGGGAAGTGGATCTATGAGTGTTTCAGATAGTAAATGACTTCACAGGCTGCACCAAGGCCCAGTATAAGATAAAAGTGGGTTATTTTGCATGCTGTATCAGAATAGACAAAAGTACTCTTGTAAAGTCCACGAATAAAGATAAGCTGGAAGGGATCTTAATAGTTTAACCCTTTTAACCAGTGGAAACAAGTTACGTCATAAAAGTAGACCATCAAGATGGGCAAATTTGCTGTTGCAGTGATGAGCATTTAACATTTGTCTTCTTAAATCATCAAATTCTGACATATTAATTTAAAGTGATTGTTCTTCGCCTTGAAAAATGTCCAAATTATGTAATGCTGACTATTTAAACTCTTAATTTGGACATATCAATGCTTTGTTTTGTTTTATGTCCACTATTCCCTATTGGGGGATTTTTTTTATTTTTCTTTTTTGAAAGAAACATAAGGATAGCAGTCTAAATGAAGCTTACTGGGACAAATGAATCGTGTCCAGACACAGGAGGGCAGTATTAGACAGACGTGACTAATGGTGAAACTGACTAAATCTCAGTGAAACTTTTACAGTTTTCCCCCACACCAGCTCCCCCTGTAATATTTAAATCTTTGTTCTTGTCATATTTTCCTGTAATTATACTCCAGTGCAGTTTCCAGTGAGCCTTGATCTGACAGTTTCAGTCCTGTAGTCTGGAAATAATATGTGACTTTTAAGGGTGATTAAGCACATACGAGTTTGCATTCTTGAATCAAGCGCTGGTTTAAATGTGCGTTTGTTTTTGTGTTATCATTGTGTCATCGGGGACTCTTTAGGTAAGGTAAGGGTTTAGGGTTTTATTTGTGTATTGTCCTTGCAATTTTGCTTACTAAATCACACATCATCTGCTTTTTTTCACAGATCAGTATAATCCCAGATGATTAGCAGGGATTGATCAATAGCACTAACTGGAGTGTGTGATTAATGGATTACCGTGGCTTGATGGAGTCACTGGCTAAGTAGTTTCGACTGTTTTCTAAATCATACTTTGAGGGTGTGTCTGGGTCACTGCTACTATTACGGCATGCAGGATGGGCCAAACTCGCTCTGCTCTATCGCACAGCACTGCCACCCGAGGCAGAGCGAAATGGAAAGCGGGCGAGACAGCCCGTCGACTTCGTATCCGCAGACCTGGGAGCGGAGAAAAAGCGAAAAGTGACCAGTTAAACAGAAATCCGATGAAAAATAAAGTGCTGTCGTATTTGGGAAGGAGAAAGCGAGACTCTAGTCAGGGGGAAGCGGATTTGGGTGGCGGAAACGCAGCTGGAGATCCAGCAACGCGCCGCGGCCACAGAGTAGGAAAGTTGCCGAGGGACGAGGTCGTGTCGGCGGTTGGGGAACAGCGAGCAGCCGCGGGTTGTTTTGACACGCCATCCGGCCTAGATGGAAATACTGAACCGACACAGCACGTCGTGAACCGTGAAGCAACCGCTGGTTCATCCGATGCACCAGGCTTGGAAAGTAAGAGCTGTGAAGTCAGCGGCGCGGGCTGCGAGGAGCCGAAACCCGTGCGAAAGAACAATGCCTCGGATCCCCAGACGAGGGCCATGGAAGATAAGCCACTGGGGGGAAGCAACCACGATCCCATTGTGTCTCAGGATCAACTATTAACTGGAAATAGCACGCGTTCATCCAACTCACCCCCTCTGAAGACCTCTGACCCAGACACTGAGGGGATTTTGTCTAGTTTGGCCTCGGATCAACTTTTGGACTGTGGACTTTCGATTAGGGAAGATCAAGCCGAGGCTACAATGACAAAAACCGACTGTAGCACCGTTTCATGCACACCCAAAGCGACCTGCAAACTGAACAACAGCTGCCCGGTTGAAACAAAGAGTCAAACGGACTCTGATCAGACCAGCCAGAGTCCACCAGGAGGCCAAAGTTTCCCAGGAACCATACCCAAGCTCATCATAACCAGAGACCCCAGTCCGAACCGCTCACAGGTCGCATCGAACCTGCTGAGAACGGAGCCCAACACCGGCTGTCTGGAGCCTCAACCGGACGACGAGTCCCCCTGCTCGGACAGCGGCTGCGGAGGGTCTCCCGCTCTGATGCGGTCCCCCAGGAAGCTGTCCAACTCTTCTTCCATCGGCCTGTCCTCCGCCTCGTCCTTCGAGGAGTCCGAGGACGACTTCACAGGCAGCGACATCGAGTCCAGCCGGTCTCTGTGCAGCCCGGAGGATGGGACGGGGGTGAGTGTCTATTCAAGTCTTCTTGAACAGACAACTTTTATAAAGTTTTCTGTTCAGTTGCTTGCAATATATTCTTCATACATATTTTAAAAGACCTTCAGCTGGACTCTGACAAGAAACCATAAACTGGTCTTACTGCTTCAGCTACCAAAAATGAGTAATGCAAATATTGTGCAATTGACCATATATGATGGCATTACAGTATTTGAAGCTATTCTTTCCATAAACAAACATGTTGTTAGGTGTGACCACACTGGAACTCATTGTAAAATTAAAATCAATCAAAAAGAAAATGATACAAGTCGGTAACTGACTAGGTATTACATATTAAAATCTAGTACACACACCCTGCATAGGAAATGTACAGTAAACATTCCTGAGTCCTGTGTCAACCTCAACCACAAACACTTTATTTTGTCATCAAATCTAAACGGTGTGTGAGAGCAGGTGTGTCAGTCACTGCTGGTGCTATAAAGACAATCAAGGAAAGAAATTTGTTTAATATGTTTCACGTTGATAATAAAAGGTCATTATTTGTCAGGAGGTGGAGATTTTTCAGCTGCTGTGGTGCAAATCAGGGGAAAAGGGCCCATTCATTCAGGAGAGACTTTTGATCTAATGTGTGTCATGTGTGGTAGAAGGCTTTGACTCACACTGCCCTGATAATGAGACATGACTGTAACAAATTTAAACCCAAAGGAGAGGAAAATGGTTATTATTGCCAGCCCCCACTTCTGTGTCCTTCCATCACCCATGCCACATGATCGCATGGCTTTGATGAGCTCAGCCTGAGGACCATTTAAACATTGTTTGAATGCATTTCTTAACTGCTCGTCATTCGTTTACAGTCAGCACTTTGAGCTGTGACCAGCCTCCACGGACGTTATTAGAGAGTTTAGCCTGCAGCCCCAAGAGGCTTACAGATTTTCCTCTCCTCCGTCCGGGAGAAGTAGCTTAAAGTTTAGTAGGAAGTTGTGATGATTTCCTCCGGTGTCAGGAAGCTTTGATGCACTGTTGACTACCATGCATGGAATGCTTTAAAAACAGGATGTATCAGTATCTTCTTATCATCACGGTAGCTCTGTGAATGCTGAACGTCCAGGTTTTCATGCAGGGCCACATCACCAAGAAAGATTTTCAGCTGTCAGTGTTGTGATTCATACTGCGATGCCCAGGACATAATGATCTTCTGGTGGATGTGGTGGAAAACCCACCCTTTTAATTTATTTATTCATTTTCATAGATCAGGAAAGATTGAGAAATGCGTCACCCATGAAAATTGATGCAATTTGAAATTCACGGTCATACATTAGACCACCCCAGAGTCTCCTCTTTAACATATATTACTTTTGCTTTTCTCCAAATTGTTTAGTCCTTCTCAAAGAGCTGCACCAAACACAGGCCTCTTGAGACCACTGTGAGGTGGAGACAAGCTCCAGTTGATGTTTAATGATTTGATTATTCCTGTGAGTGAGGATCTAAATGTCAAAATAAAGACCGTGTGGGCAGCTTTCTTCCTTCAGGCATGATTTTACAAAACAAAGTTCAGCAAAAACTTAATACAACTCGTGTCACGATGGCTTAATTAGATTAAGTATAAAAGTAACATCCATATCGAGTCCACACATCTACTGATCTCAACCAACTGAAAGATGAACATTTTATCCACAGAAGTTTGTCTGTTACTGTCGCAGCTTTAGTTTAGATCAAACATTCTTGTTTCTTGTTTCATATGTAAAACATCACAAAAAAATGAGAAAAACCACACCTTAATCTCTTCTAAGAAGCCAGTGTGGTATCTTCAGATGTTTGTTTTTTCTATGTTCTGCAGTCTTAACACGCGAGCAGTGCTATAAAACACAAACACTTTAAATCCTCGCATTCAAAAAGGAAAAACGAAGAGTTTTTGCTTGAAAATTAGAAAAAAAAATAAAACGCTTATAATTTATAATACCCCATCATGTTTAACGTCCCCTTTGTCAGTCATTCGTTTAGTGTAAAGTCCATAAAATACCTCTGTCACGTTCAGATACACATTTCTGCAAACATATTGATTCACATATTGCATGTCTTGAGTGAACAGGACAGCGGACAATGTAATTTCCTGGCTATTATAACAACACGCAGGAAGTGAGCAACCTGAGTAGTTGCACTTGAGGTGTTGTAACAAACAGGATGACGCTGGCCTGTGGTTTCTGATAAGAGCTGGTTTTAATGGGCATGTTTTGTCATATGTGCAGCTGTGTGGAAAACGCTTTTGTTTGTTGTAATTAATAGAAAGAGGGAGTATGTGTGGCCGTGCCGTCAACTCACAAACAAACCTAACATTTACTTCATGAGGTGACGTGAGCAGATACTTGTTCGCGCATGCACGCACACAGACACACACACACAGAGCGATGCCGTCTTGCATTCAGAGTTCATTGTGTGTCATGGAAAATTGGGCTGAAGGCTGAGCCGGTTGCTAGGCAACGTCTTTGCCATATATGGTGTTTTTTTTTTTCTCCTTGTGTTGTTCGCTCCACCAACAGTGTCTACTCTGTCCCTGACATTTGAATGCTATAAGATATAAATTCCTGCCAACGTCTGCTGTGCACAGCAGCGCCGATATTTTTCGCATGATCATGTCTTCCATGTGAGACACTCTTTCTCCCTCTACAGTTTGCCTGCACTTATATAAAAAGGCTTAATATTTTCCTCTTAAGACAGTGAAACGGAAAACAAGAGGAAAATTAGAGTAAGCAGACAAAAGAAGGAGCGCGCACAGATGAAAAATATGCAGCGAAACTGTGAACATGTAGCCTACACTTGATGATTATTCTTATTTATGCATGCTTATTCACTCATGAGCCACAATTGCAGACTTGTTTTCCGTCCCACACATCACTCCTACAGCAACAGCACTTATACACAAAATCCACGATACAGGAAAGTCCACGTTAGTTAAAAGTTAGCTTCGCTTTTATGTATATATGTGCACAACACAGAATTACCTGATACAAGATGTATCAGGTTAAGATGTAACACCCACAATGAAATAAAATCCAGTGGTGCAGGAAGCGCAAGATTCAGAGTATCAACGCCTCGAGTAAAAATTCTCCATTACTTCCAAGCAAATCATTTGCTTTTGGAACGTTGGCTGTTTCTTATCAACAATCTATTAAGGAAGTAAAGAGCATCATATCTCTTAACCCTATATCACACCTATAAAACTGTGCCTAACTGGATCATTAAACACGTTGTCTCTGGAGTATTTTTTTAGGTCGCTGTTCTGTTTTTGTAACTGCGCATGTGCTTTAGTTTTTACAATGTGTGACATTTTTAATGTTATATGGTTATGCTCCGGATCTTATCTTTGAATACGTGCTTCTGCACTTTTGGTTTTCCTCTTACTGTCTATTATTTCCATCAATCCCCCAGGGACAAGATATGAAAATGAGCCTGTATGACTTCATCTGGCACATTCACACTATGGACAATGTACAAAGCACACTGCCCCTTTTTTAAAAAAACAAACAAACAAACAAACAAACAAACAAACAAAAAAACAAGACCAACAGCTTTTGAGTAAAAGTACTCACAGCGTTTGGAGGGGGCGGGGGATCATCATTTCCTTCATTACATAAAATTAAAAGATGTGCATACAGTTAAAGAACACAATACTGGATCACAAAAACAAAATCCAAAACCTGGAAAGCAGTAAGACTTAACCTCCTGTCATAAAAGCTAGAACACTGTCATTGATCCTTCCTAAACCAGCAAATCAAATTTTGCTCATATATGCCATAACCCCCACACGTGTCCTCATGTGTATAAATAAGTAATTTTGTTATTATGACTTGATGCACAAACACAAACTTTTAGTGTGGTTTGTAAAGTACAAGCAAAAAGCCAACTTAACCAGCCAATACATTTAATGGACTCACAAGTAAGATATTGTTCATTTTTTACTGAAGAAAAATGTTACCAAAAATGACAGTTCCGTATAAGTCAAGTCAAGTCATCTTTATTTATATAGCACATTTAAAAGACATCAAGTGTCGGCCAAAGTGCTGAACAGAGGGATAATGTAATAAAAGAATTAAAATAGAAAGAAAACATTTAAAAAAAACCAAACAAACAAAAAAAAAAACACAGGAGAGAAACAAAGGTTTAGGAGTCCTTCACTGATAAATCTGGAAGTTAAATACTTAATATGCGAGCTGGAAAGTGAGCTGCTTTTCTTAGCTCAAGGTTTCACTGGAACTATATCGGATTTTATGTAAATAAGAGTTGCCAAAATAATGTTTTTATAGTTAAATGTGCTCCGCAAATAGAATCGGTCGTTAGTGGAAAATCATTAAACAACACACTGAGATGTAGCACAGGTATAAGAGGTCGAATACTTCCAAGTATTCCGGAAACCGTGATATTAAAGGGGAAAAAGTAGCAAATACAGCAAATACCAAATGTATTTTCATTTGTCAGTGATATCAACTGATGATGTAATACCGTGTTTCTGGCACATGCAAATAAACATATCAAACATTATCAGATAAAAGAGACATGTGAGTCTGTTTTCTGCAGATGGTTTTCAGGCGGAGGTTGAAGCCGGTGCCATCTTCTGTGCGTTCACTGGCCCATCACAGTGGAGCTTCATGAGCTCTGAAGACTTGAGTGAAGGGAAAGGGATGTGGTTTATATAAAGTAGTTTTGAGAAAAGGTCTCTAAGAGTACCTGAAAGCACGCTTCGGGGTTTGCATACAGTATGCTGTCACTCTCGTAGCTGACTGTCGCTTGACAGGTTTAGTTTTGTCCCCGTGCACAAACGCACAACTTCGTAGGCCGCATAGTAGTCAAGACCTCATCATGCAGACAAAAGAGGAGCTGTGGGACTATATGGAAATGGTTGTTGGCTCTACCCCCACCTGCACTGAATCTGGCAGGAGATTGGCTAAGCATGAGGCTCAGGATAGGCCCGGAGGGGATTAGAGGATGAGAGAGTGAGACAGGAGAGAAACAAAGGTTTACACTGGGAGAAAGCGAAGACGGCTTGCAGAGTGGGGGATTTGCGCCTTCGGGGAGACGGGGTGAATGATTTCAGGGAGGAACTGCAAGTAACAGGACTAGTTCAAACAGGCAGAAAGTGGCGAGAGCCAGAAAAGGGACTGCCTTAGGACACTTGGTGGATATGTTTGATGACGGCAACAAAGAAATTGAGAAAGCGTGAAGAAATCAAAGGGTGGAGTACTAAAATTCTGCAATGGTGCAAATTGTGAATTAGAGTGACAAAAAGGAGGTTGTAGAGACGCACGAGTGATTATTTATCGGGTGATAAAGGAGACAAACAAACATTAAAAATTTACAGCTTGACTAAAGGTGATTTACCAGAGGAAGACCGAGCAGACAGTGGACTGAGTTAAAGGACGTTATAGATGACGGTGAAGGATCTCATGCCCACAGGGAGGCACGCGTCCCTGACGTTTGATTTAAGAGACCCTGTCCTGATGGCGGGGGGCATTTTGTGTTGGTTGCGTTCTCGTGTCGTCTCTGGGGTCGTGTGTATCTGTGTCGGCACCTGCCTCCTCCTCCGCTACTGCTCCGTTTGCCAGGTAAGAAAAGGGTCCAAAAATAATTATTGAGAGAGCAGAGATACTGATTCAAATGTAACCTACCTCAGCCACTGTTATAAATGTACGCTGGTGTCACGCTTCCTCAGAAACATGATATAAGGGGAGATTGTATCAAAGAGACTTGGGTATTCAAATAGAAATTAAAAAAAGATTGCTGTTGTTGCTGTTACAGCATATGAGGGCTATCTGGCTCGCGTTCAGCCACAAAGAACTGTATCTGGGTTAAGAAGCCAGTAAGCCAGTAGCAGCAGGCTCACCATGCTGTACACCAAGTGCTGCTATAACAGCTAAAAGTAATTAACATTATAATTTAATAGCACCAAAAGTTGAAGTCCACAACTTGTTTTACCCAGCTGATCATTACAGGCCTCATCATGGGCTATAATTATTGAAGATGGGTCTTTTTTTCCTGACCACAGTGGCCTTTGGTGGTGGCTGTGCACATAGCCACAAATGGTCTACTTATATTTCAAGGCAAAGAGTCTGTTACATTACTCGTGTTATTTTTGACAATTTTACAAGCAAAGATGTGTTCTAATTTTTGAGTAATTTAACTTGAAGAGAAAAAAATACCTTGTTAATTGGTGAGTCTTCTTTAGTGGGTACTTATTTCTTTTATATGCTGGGAAATCGCCGCTAAGGGGCTTACTGAAGTGGCAGTGAAACACCTTCCTTGTCTTGGATGCATACTTTACACATCTAAAGCAGAACATTCGTGGCCCTTGTAATGTCTCCTAGCAGCGCCATTGTTGTCATTGTTGGGAAGTGTTTGGGCGTGTTCTCTCATGACAAGCACCGGTGACATTCCTGGAATTCCATCCCATAGGTCTAGGAAATATGAAGAAGGGATGGGAGCACTACAGGGGAAAAAAGAAAGTGGTAAAAGCAAGGGATCTCTGTCTGTTTCAAAGCAAAAAATTAAAAATAACCTCTCATGGGGGTTGATATGATAACTTTGTATGTTTGTATTATGTATACAGTTTTCATGAGTTATATAAAAGAAAGTGGAGATGGCAAGGGTTCGACTGTGTGGGGTGAAATGTGACCTCAGCATTTAAAACGTGTGTGTGTGTGTGTGTGTGTGTGGGACGGCTTCTTCGCTTTAAGCTGAAACGTCGAAAGCTCTTTATGTGCTCTTTGATGGGCTTCTGAACATTTATCAAACCACCCTTTTAAGAACGCCTTAATGTCCACAAGAATATTAGCAGCATTAGTATTTGGCAGTGCATCTGCTGTTAAGGAGGTGCATTCAGCTCCACAGAGGCAGCACATTAAGCTGTCAGCATGGGGCCATTAGAGAGCCTGACCTGGACGAGGAAAGTGAAAGAAGAGAGGCTGAAGCATCACGTTTCTCCCCGCTCAGGCCTTCTGTCACTGAACTGGTCTTCAGATGGAAACAGATGCTGGTAATGACTAAATATTAGTGAGGAGAAGAAGTAAAAGATTTGATAAGTAAACAGATTCTGTTTGGGCCACAGGTGGATGGTATTTCTGGACTTGTGCATTCAGAAAACTAATATTTATCTGTGATCAGTAATCACAGCACGTCGTTACAGCTGACAGGAAATCTAGTCAAATATTCAACTGTAAACTAAAAATGTTTAAATAAAGGTCGAGCATGTTTTGGGAATTTTAAGAGTCTTTCTAGAGTCTCTGGTGACAGTTTTCTTGCCTGAGTGGAAAGTTTAAATGTTGCTGGCTTTTGTTGTGGCTTCATTTGGATATTTTTCCTTTGAGTTTGAATAAAACAGTTCTTTTTGCAAATAAAGAGAAGAGGAGTTTTGCTGAATAGGCTGAGATATTTGTATTTATTTGAAGTCTAATCAGAGATTTGGGTTAGGGTAAAGATCAGCTCAAACACATCCTGAGAGACTGTATGGGGTGTCAACAGGCAGTGGAAATAAGCAGGCTAGTAAGCGAGAAAATAGATAATAGAAGTGTTTCATCACTGTGATCCTGCACATCTATTAGTGTTTGTCTGTGGGTCAAATGAAGGTGTGGTTTGCTCAGTTAAGTGAGCAAGAGGAATTTTTGTCATGTTGAAAATTCAGTCGTGTACATCACATGTGGTGAAGTGCTGTTCTTCGCCCAGACGAGGCCGAGGTTAGGGTAAGGTGAATATGTGGGTGTCGTTTAAGATTAAGTCCACATCTTCACCTTCGGCCTCTTGCTAAAAATCCTGGTAGTGACCTGCTCTCTGTTTTAAGCAGCATTTCTTTTTATTGTAGGCTTTGTGCCATCTCATGTTAAGTTTAAACCTGTAATCCATCCTGGGATCTGAGGTTGAGAAACTGATGATAAAAGATTTAAATGCACACTCATTCTAGTTCTTAGAATGGTTACAAACTTACATGTTTGATTCAAGTTATCGCACTAATGTACCAGAATAAATAATCCACAATTAAAGTAAAACCCTTTGGAAAGATTCATCCCAATACGTAAAACTGCTCCTTCTCCTTCAGCTAAAAAGTGTTTTTAAGGCTTTCAAACTGTTGCGAACAGTTTAAACTTGAAGCATTTTTTTCCCTCCTTCTTCTTCTTCTTTTGAGGTAAACACATACGCAGTGTTTCCAGTGTGTTTATGTTCC